CGTGATCCTAGGTCCCGTGTTACGTTAAGGAAGTAGCCTCGGGGCGTGACATGTTGCTTAAGTAACCCTTGCTTTTGCGAAGGAGGCTTCTCTTCTACGATGCCACATTTTGAGCAAAGCGAACTCCTGGTCGCTTTAGTGACATCTGAGAGGGGGGGGGGGTTTGGCCACTATTTCGGGATTGAAGCTCTATTTCACCATTTTTTTAGTTTTGGGAACTTTGGGGTGGTGATTTGGACCATTTTTCGAGGAAAAACTTTTGGGTAACAATTTTTAACTCTAAATCTTCAATTACTAATTATTTTTATGAATTTATGTGTTCAAATCAACCTTGTAAAATGAGAAATTTGGGGTTATTTTCAAGAACCCAAGAACTTAGTAAAATTGTGATTTTGAAGTAATTTTAAGTCCTTTTTCGAAATGATTTTTCCTAATTAGTTCCTTAAGCCTTGAGTAATGTTTTCAAGTATTAAATTTCCGATTCAAACCTTAGTTTCAGAATTGGGTTTTGTGTTAATTGACCCACTTTTCAAGAGGATTGATGTGGGTATTGTTGTTTCCTGAAATTTGTTGTGAATATTTACTTGTGCATAGATTGTGTGGCCTTGGAAGTGATTCAGTAGGGGAAGACTCAACTCTTGGAGTGATTGTTGATTGATGTAAGACAAGTGATCTGCTAAGCCTCATATTCTAGTAGAATTCGTGTACTTTCTGCGTTGCTTGTGTGTTGATGTAATGGGGATAAGGTGAAGGGTTTAAATTGTCTACTTGATACATCTTAATGAATAAAAAGGGGCTGACATTAAAAAGGCTATGTGATAAACATGATGATGTGAATTGCCTTATTGTGACCCTTGTTGATTGATTGATGAAATGCTTGAAAGCATGAACGTGGACTTAAATTGTGTGAATTATTGTCTCTTCCGTGTAGTGTGATATTATTTGTATGCATTGCTTGTGAACATTGTTATGAGACATGTGGTGGTTTATAATGTCAACGTCTTTGTTGGTGAGTCTTTGGACCAGATTTATTAATAGATGGGGCATTTAAGAATGCACCACCATTGCAGCAATAACAAAATCAGCATCAACAACATTTTCCGGAGGATGATTGTTAATAATTTGGACAATAACACTTTCACATAACAAATTTCTATTTGAAAGTACATAAGTGAAATTGGTGTGTTTTCTTAAATAGTTTACAAAATCTTTTTATCATTCATTTTGTCTTTTAGATAAATGTGGAATGCTTATATGTTGTCTGTTGAAATAAACATAAAAATCATATATCTATCTTTATTCTCTAAGCAATTTTCTCTCTTGTGTAATTGATAAATAATTCATCTATGAGTGAAATTTATCAAAAGAATGTTTATTCATCAGTGCAAGATTGAAATTTATGTCACTGTATTTTGACTTAAATATCTTCATACCAGGTAATTATATCTATATTTTAAGGAGCGAAGGAAAATGAGGTTGCAAATATTTATCAACCTTAGCTTAGCTTCAAGGTTATTCATGACATTTCATATCATTAGATATTCACGAATTATTCATCAATTTGAGCTTGAACTTTCCCCCTTTCGATTTTAATTATTCATTACACACATTTGTTAATATTATCTATATCGTTTAAAAAAAAATACTAATTGAGATAAATTACACGTGCAACACACATATCCTAAAACTAGTGTGTGTATATATCTATATCTATACTACCTTAAAAACATGAACTCCAAAAACTGAATATTAAATTACGACAATACCCCTCACTTAAAAAGATTACAACAAATACCCCTCACTCACTTAAAAAGATTACACAAATACCCCTCACTTTTTTTATAAAAAAAAACCCTATCGCAACAAACAACGACAAATAGTCAGCACTTTCACTAGACAGGCGCCAAGTCCTCTTTGACTGAACAGTCACCAAGTTTCCATGTATTGTATCTGTCCAACAGCCAAATATATACTCCAACCAACGCAACCTCTGCATAGTCCCCTATTTATATCAACCACACATACAACAAATTCTCCATTAGCAAATCAACTTCTGCACAAAGCGTCTCCATTAGCAAATCAACTTCTGCAAATAACGCATAGGTATGCCTTATTTTCCTCCTCTTCTACCAACATATTTGTTTTGTTACTAAAGCGTACATCTGCACATTCGAATTCAATTAACCTTTTTGCGATACTTCCTCAGGCCAATATTGATCTTCCTTACGCAAAACACGTAATAGTATTGGACTCGACATTGACATATTTCACTTTACATCTTAAATTGTAAGTTTTCACTCTCCTTATGTATTGCTATGATCTTCAATGGACTACTTGCAGTAACATTGCTACAATCTTCTTAATGATTCCTTTGTATTTTTCACTGACACATTACGGTCCAGAATGAATAATGAAATTCACTTTTTCCTTCGCACCTCTAACTATCCAGAATCATCACACATGGCGACTGAAGTTGAACAATCAAAGCATAGTGTCTCCCTTAACAAGATATCAAAATACTCTGTTAATTGGGTAACGCGAGTATTTGTTATTCGAAAGGGTTCTGTTATGTCGTACAAGAATTCACGGCATGAAGGGACTTTCCATATGGTAATATTAGTGGACGGCGAGGTAATAGTTTTGCTTAGGTTATATGCTAACATTTTTATCTACTCCCTATATTACTTGTCTAATCAACTCACATGTCAATTACATCAATACTAGGGGACAGTTGTAACCGACACTATTTAATAAGCATATCGACACATGGAAGGACTTCTTAAAGACAAATAAGAGTTACTACATTGCTAATGGGCTGTTGTATCGGGTCAACCCCAACTACACTTCTGTGCACAAATAGATTGAACTCTCCATTACCAACAACACAATCATAAAGGAGAGTAACTATGTTGTTTTAACACACAACTTCTCTGAAGGCTTTGTGTCTTTGGAACACACAGAAAAATTACCAAATGGTGCCTAATTGGTAACTATTCACAGTACTTGAAATTTCTACATTCAATTACATAATATGTATCACCAACTCACCTCACCACTATTCATACTTGCTTTGCTGTTAGTCACGGTCAATCCTATCATTGTAAAAGGCGATAGCAAAAGACATGAAATTGTTGTTACAAACGAACTGTAAGTTGCCATTACGACTTCTTGATCGTCCATATAAATCTCTTGATGCATTCACAATTCTTATCTAATTCAAAATCTAACATGGAGTGTACAACTGTTACTCTATGGGGAGATTTTGTAGTACACGACGGTGCATTTCTGGAAAAGTTGAAAGATGATCAACCTGCTTTTGGCTTATGTGACGTGAGAGTCTCGATATATAGAGGTATACCCAGTCTCTTCGATATTCTAATTGTAAAATTTTCGAGTATATTATTTGATACCTCACTTTAATATGTTGTTTTCCAAACTAGGCACTTTTGGGATATCAACTATACCCGTGAGCAGTGTGTTGATCAATCCAATGTTTTCAAAAGCACTACATCTTCGCACATGGTACACAAGATAATCTACTAATATGCTCAACAATATTTCATTAACCTCACTGCCAAAACTTATGGTCTAACTATAATTTATTGAGCCATACTTTAATCTAACAATTCTAAACCCACAAACATTTTCTTAAATAAATGCTACAGGTAACTTACCTCATCCTATATACAGGAGTGAAGTCATAGAAGGCGCAATGAAAGATATTACAACCACACCAAGTAAGGTAATGAAAAGAGCCACGAAAGTGACGTTACCCAAATTATGGCGGACACAATACACATGTACCTTTTAATGGACACTTTATGCATCCATAAAGGACCACTGTTTACCAAGCATAATCTTCAATATTTGTCATTAACAATGTCCAGGAAGCTTTATACAAGTTCAAATCTAAAAAACGATCAAGTATTTGTACAAGTATATATATATGGGTCATGATAAATGTGCGGTTTACATAGAGTCAGACGATGGAGAAAAATTCATAGATGAAATGCATAGCTTTCAAGATGCACGTTGGGTGTCACCACCAGAAACAATGTGGAGAATTTATGAGTTTACTCTAAGTGAAATGCAACCAGCGGTTATAAATCTAAAATTACATCTACCCGTCAAATAAACAGGTATTTTGAAATCCTTTTTCAGATAGTATAATCAAAAGATACAGTTGTCCAGCCAAATAGATGAATATTAATATAAGACTATTATTTAAAATGTAGTGTACTATAGAAAGAAGTAAAATCTTCAAAATATAGCGGCCTCCCAGTTTGTACAACAAACTATGCTTACTGAGTATTTTAAGTTGTGCTCAAATGACAGTGAGGCTTGAAACTATCTATACGACGGAGAATTGCCCAAGCATTATGTTTGGAACTCCCAATCTAAAATTTGGAGTAAGAGGAAATCACGCTCCGTGATTGGCAGAATAAATACTGATAAGACAATTACACTTCATTATGTCATATTTATGCGCTAAACAGTAACTTTACCTAACTACACTACTTAATGTCACAACAAATGCTAGAAAAGGTGAAAGGTATTATGAAAGATTATTATTGAATGTCTTTCGAGGCCCGACATCGTTTGAAGACTTGCTCACTGTTAATAGAATACAATGTGATACTTTCAAGGAAGCAGCTAAGGAAAAAGGTTAATTAGAATTTGATGATAGCATTTCTAAATGTTTACGTGAAGCTGTAATCTTTAAGATGCCCGTAGGTCTTCGAAGTTTGTTTGCATCCATTTTAGTTCATTGCAACCCAACAGATGTGAGGTGTCTATGGGACACATATTACAATGATATGTCGGAAGACTTTCAGACGAGCCAGGAAAGTTCACCAGAGGCACAACTACAAAGTACCTTGAAAAGTATATATACATACTTGGAGAGTATGGATAAAAGTGTTGCGAAATTTGATATCCCACAAATCAAACAAGAATTACATAAAAATGACACATATGAATGCCGAGAAATAATTGAACAAATGTCGGTAAAGATGCCAACTGAAGATATGGATGCAAAATCAAAGTTGAATCCACACCAAACACAAACTTTCAAGACCATATTGCAAAGGGCTAACTCTGGAACAACAAGATTATTCTTTGTAGACGGACCGGGTGGAACTGGAAAAACATTTTTGTATCTGACATTGCTGGCAAATATCAGATCGAGAGGTATGATAGTATTGGCATCCGCTAGCAGTGGGGTAGCATCAATAATTTTACCGGGAGGCTGTACAACTCACTCAAGATTTGAAATACCTCTACTAGCAAATGAAACAACAATTACAAATATGTCCAAACAAGATGGCGGCGGTAAGCTAATTAGACAAGCAAAATTGATAATATGGGACGAAACACCAATGGCTAAGAGACACACAATTGAAACAGTAGACAGAAGCTTCCGTGACATAATGCACCTTTTAGTGGAAAAGTCATGGTATTTGGAGGTGACTTTCGACAAGTACTATCGGTGGTTCCTAAATCAACACGAGCAGAGACAGTGGATGCAAGTTTGGTGAGGTCATATTTGTGGATTTTAATGGAAAAGATTCATTTAACATCCAATATGAGAGCGAGAGCAGATTCAATTTTTAGTGAATTTTTGCTTCGTGTTGAAAACATCGAAGAAAGCACAATACGGGACAATTTAATACAACTGCCACAACAAATGATGGTCCAAGCAACTGGTAATAGTAAACCAGAAGAATGCTTACTAAGGAAAGTATTTCCATCGTTACAACAAAACTACATATCGTCAAAGTATATAACTGAAAGGGCAATCTTAGCAAATAGAATTGAATATGTGGATAATCTAAATGAAATGTTGATTACACAATTCCCAGGGGAAACAAGAACATATATCAGCTTTGACTCGGTGGAAGATGATACCAACAATTAGTATCAAGAAGAATAGTTGAATACATTAACACCAAATGGGCAGCTACCATATATGTAACATTTCCATACTGTTATTAACGTTGCAAGTATAATATAACTGTGAATCGCTAAACTGGATGAAAAATAAAGTTGAGGTTAAATATTAAACAACTGATGTATATTTGAATACTATATATTAGATTAGATTTGAAAGAGACTGCATCTATTATGATGCTGAGGAATCTGGATCCAGCAAATGGTTTATGCAATGGTACACAATTGATTTGTAGAGGTTTTGACAACAACATCATACATGCCGAAATAACAACAGGAGAATATGCAACAAAATAGATGTTTATACCAGGAATCTAATTATCGCCTCCGGAGAATGAAGGATATCCTTTTAAATTTATTCGCAAGCAATTTCCAATACGTCTCTATTTTGCAATGACAATAAATAAAGCTCAAGGTCAAACAATCCCTATTGTTGGATTGTATCTTTCACAACATGTTTTCTCCCATGGACAACTATATGTAGCACTATCGAGAGGAATCTCAATGACCACGACAAAAGTATTGGTAATGACTGAACAACTAGATACGACGACGGGCACATATACAAAAAATATTGTATACAAAAAAGTATTAGGTAAGAGACGATTGTTATCTTTTAAAGCGTAATCAATTAGGAACAAAATCAACACATTACATGAACCTTATGAAAATGTCATTGGTTGTGTTTGATAGGTTCGGTTGAAGAGGAGAAAAGTTGAGCATCAACATGCAATTTATGAAGAACATACAACTATTGTGTAGACTTAGATATTGGTAATTAGGATACAAATGAGTTGAATATCCAGCAAAGCATCATGTATTTATGGACAGCGTCATAAAATTTCATGCATCTAATTCAAGACAATTAGACGAGCATAATCGAGTAATGTTCAGAAACAGAAAATTGGAATCTGAGAAACATCCATACAAATTATTATCTTACATATTGAATATATTTAATAATGGTAGTATGCATACAATTAACTGTAAAATTATGTATACGAGACTGTTCTAATACTTGCAACAATATATTATGACAAAAAAGTAAGCTTACTGTTTCAGATTTAATCACATGACAAGATGAGGCCATCACGTGCAATGCACGTATAGTAAATCTAGTATATATATGTGTGTGTGTGTGGAGGAGGGGGCTCAAATCTAAATTTTAGGTATATCATATACCTAAAACGAATTCCCTCATCATAATCTCGAAGCGCAACTTAGTGGTCAAGGAGGTTCATAAGTTTTCTTGTATCACGATACATTATATTGACTTTACAGTAACAAAAAAAAAACTATGACTTGGGCAAAAAATACAAAAAAAAAAAAGAAAGATAAAAGCAATTAAATTTTTATTTTCGAGTATTGTTTTTTTAAAAAAAGAAAAGAAAAGAAAAAAGTCACTTTTAAATTAGATTGTAATTGAATAAATAATCAAAATGGTCAAAATACAAAAAAGTAAAAAATAACAAAGTTGGCCAAATAATAGGCGAATCAGACAACAAGGCCCAAAGGAAAACCCGACTCAAATCATAACAAAAGCAAATAAAGAATCAATTTTCTTTTAAAAAAACATCTAGATAAATCTTTCAAGTGCTTTTTCATCTTCTCCAACCAAGCATTAGCGATAATGTAGATGCATTGAAGTTCAGTTGGTCGGCACCCGCATCTTGGGAATTCTTCACTATAAGTAATTTAGTCATTTAATTTTTTATCTCAAATTTTAGATTGATTTCACCTGAAACACTTAAATGATTTTTTATCAAGCCGAAAAAATATTATTTAAAAATATTTCTATAATATATTGTATGTATAATATTGTGAAAATAGTTATAGTGTAATGTACGTATGTGACTGTTTATAAGTATTTTCCTTCATATTTTGTTATTCGATTGTTGTAGTTTTGTATGGATTTGTTTGTATATCTTTTGTTTAAGCATTTTTATATTCCAAGAAGCCCGACGAGTATACATAAGAGCTTACACTAACGAAAAAATAGTACCAAAAGTAATCCAGAAATATCAGTTGGAACTCAAGCAAGGAGACAACCAAAATCTAACATAAGGATAGACGTCAAGTAAGTATAGCTCATCTTGAAATCTTACATCAGGATAGGTATAATGAAAGTCATCCTCTCTCGAAATCTTACATTGGGATAGCCGCATGAATCTAGAATCGGGATAATTGCACCAGCTCAAACTTGGAATTGAGAAATGCTCCAACAGGGTATCGAAATTTGTTCGGAATCCTGTGCATGCAAATGAACTATTCTACCCCACCAAATTCGACATTCCAAACTCAACATGAATGTCAAAACTTCCAATAGAGATTGTCTTGATAAAAAGTGGGTTCCACACCTCAAGCTCTATTTTAGCAAAAAGCCAAAGGTAGCTCAGAATGAGGCTAGAAGCCTCAAGACCTGAACCAAAGGTTCGTCTAGACTAAAATCAATATTTCAGAGCTAATGAAATCATCAGAAATACATTTTGAGGTTGTTTATTTTATATTTTGACCAAAGTCAAACACATACACTTTAGGAACTCCAAAACACAAAAACTTGTATATAAACCAAACGAATTGTCTATTGATTGGCCAAATATAGGAAAGCTCTAAATGTTGAAAAAATAGAAAATAGAGAAAATAACCTAGAAAGTCATTACATTCTTCGTGGCATTTAAAAAATCTCAAGATTGTAAGATATGTTATTGCTATTATTTTTTGCATTGATTATGACTAATTTTGAGACTTTTCATTTCCTTATTTATTTTATTTTTGTATAGTTGACTAGGTTTATAAAATATGCATATTTAGACAAATGCTTTTCAAAAACAGATATTTTAGATAGTAGTAGTTATTATCTCACCCAACGTCCATGCATGTGCACACGATCGACAAATAATAAAGACATGATTAGAGTATTGTTCCCAACAAGGACGTAATTGTGAAATATTTAGTATATTATTACACTTTCAAATATTTCAAAAAATATTTGATTTGAATGTTGAGAAATGAAAATCAACTATAGATTTACGTGATTATAAAAAATAATTAAAAGAAAAAGTTCCTAACGTGAGAATTGATATCAATCAATTCTCGAACATTTATACAATTAACGACTTAATTAATAGTAGCAATACATATGTGATATTGACAATAACTAAAAAAACAATATGAATAATTTATAATAAAAATAATGGAGTGACAAAAAATATTCTCTTAATTGTTAAAACTCTTAAATTAAATTTTCTTAATGCTACTTGACATACATTTAAGCAATTTAAATTTGGCATTCACAATAAATGACCACCATCATTTACAAGTAATTGTCAAATTTAAAATTTATTTATAAATATCTAAATTCAAATTCTAGAGTCTGAACAATATTCAGGCTACATTCAATTAATCTCATGTCATTGAGAAACAAAATTAATTTGTTACTATATTCTTTAGATATAATACAAATCTTTTTAGATATCAACTTTGACTAAAAATTTGGTAAGAAAATCATGAAATAAATCTATTTAAAGGGCTTTTTGCTCTTGTGTGAAGCAATTAAATCAAAATTTTATTTATTCTAATTTGCTCTCTAGTTTCTAATAAACCAATGAGTACTCCAGAAGGTGGTTCTAGTTTAGAACAAAAACTTATCAAGTGAGTTCTTTTTAATTTTTTTTTTATCTCCCTTCCCTTTTTTCTACTTATTTTCTTAAGCTTAACTAATAATATTCACTAATTGTGTAAATGAACCCCTATATATATATATATATATATATATATATATTCAAATTTATGAATAATATTTTTTTATGAATGGTTAGACTCTATGTAGATATCTTTTAAGTTAAACTCTTATTTATTCCACATTCTTTATGATTTAATTATAATGTTTTTTTTATGATTTTCAGAATAATGGAGAAAGAAACCAAGAAACTTTTGTTTGAGAATGTATCGCTCCGCCTGCAACATAAATTGCTTTGTTTGCAACAAAAATTATTGATTGAAAGGTTAAACAATTTGACTTGCTCAACTTATACAGAAGATCAAAAATTATGTGAGGAGATCGACCAGATGAAAGCAAAGGTGAGCTTTTATCTAATCACATATCAGAATTAAAGTATAAGTTCTATGCATATAAAAGGTGAAAATAAATTTTATATAATAATATAGCTTACTAGGTATAATTGTTGCCAACACTTTTGATAAGCATAATTAATTAATTATTTAATAAAGATAGTAAATGATATGTTGCATCAGGTTAAAGTTTATTGATAGCGTAAAAAAACATATGATTTCTAAGTATATATAATGTAAATCGTTTAAATTATTGATATTTTTTTTTATTTTTTTTTGTAGAATGAGATGTGGGCGAGTGTTATGAAGGAATTAATTGATGATAAAGAGTAGAGTTGGCCCTCGAGTTGGCGATGTTGTTGTTTTATTTCATATTTTAGAGATTTTAAAACTTAGACAAATTAATAAATTTGAAGAATGATGTGTTCCCTTCTTTATGGCTAATGAAAATTTAAAGACTATGAGAAATGTTATTGTTATTATTTCTTATTTTGATAAAGACTAAATTTGAGACTTT